GTCAGCCTGGCTCACAGCAACCTCAAACTCTTGGCCTCAAGCAATCCTTCTACCTCAGCCTCTCAAGCATCTGGGACTATAGGCATGCGCCACCATGCCCGGCTAATTTTTTCTATATATCTTTTTAGTTGTCCAGCTAATTTCTTTCTATTTTTTTAGTAGAGACGGGGTCTCACTTTTGCTCAGGCTGGTCTGAACTCTTGAGCTCAAACGATGCACCCGCCTTGGCCTCCCAGAGTGCTAGGATTACAGGTGTGATCCACCACGCCCGTCCTTATTTTTAGTTTTTGAGGAACCTCCATACTGTTTTCGATAGTGGCTGCACTAATTTACATTCCTACCAACAGTATATGACAGTTCCCCTTTTTCCATATCCTCGCCAGCATTTGTTATTGCCTGTCTTTTTGATAAAAGCCATCTTAACTGCACTGAAATAATATCTCATTGTAGTGTTGATTTGCATTTCTCTGACGACTAATGATGTTGAGCATTTTTTCATATACCTGTTGGCCATTTGTATGTCTCCTTTTGAGAAATGTCTATTCAGACCCTTTGTCCATTTTTTAATCAGATTATTTGATTTTTTTTCTATTGAGTTGTTGAAGCTCCTTATATATTTTAGTTATTAATCCCTTGTTGGATGGGTAGTTTGCAGATATTTTCTCCCATTCTGTTACCACATGATTTTGATGATCAGTAATATTTAGGAACGTCTTATTAAAGACAGCCATCCCTAAACAAATGAAACACAAAAATAAAAGTAACAGCATGATTTAAACACTCTAGGCAGGGGAAAATATTCTACTAACTGGTCATATTATTAGCTTCCTCTAGACTCAGAGAGGGTTTATCTGTGGCATTTTTAGTCTACACACGTTATCCCAGTTTAAGCAATCTGACAGGCCTGAGATGTCTGACTCTCCAAGTTCTTTGACTATCTACCAGTGCAACAGAACTTTTGGCGATGATGGAAATGTTCTGTATCTACGCTGTCCAACAAAGCAGTTACTAGCCACATGTGGCTACTGAGCACTTGAAACGTAGCTAGTATTACTGAGGAAGTAACTTTTAAATTTTATTTAATTTTAATTTAAATAGCCGCATGAAGCTAGTGGCCAGTATATTGACAGCTGGGGTCTAGACTTCTAAGACTCTTGATTTCAGTGGAGCCCTCCCCTCTCCTGACCCCACTCACCTCTACCTGGGGGGACCTCTGAAGAGATCAGGCTCACATAGAGCTGATAGGTCAGCTGGGGCACTGAGCCCAGGAAGGCTTGGATCTGTGACATACGTTTGTAGGCATTGCGGTGCATAGCCAGGGTCCGGATGGAGTGGCCCACCTCCCATTCTATCAGCACCTCCTCGCCATCTATTAGCATCTTCTTTCGGGTGAGGGTGACATAGGGCTCCTCCTGCCCCTCTTTCTTCCACAGTGTGAGGTACTTAATCATGGCCTCCAAACATCTGCAGGAGTAAAGCATCATGGGTACTTAACTAAAGCTGTCCTGGGAAAGGAGGTTGTAATGAGGGGATAAAATAACTTGGGGAGGTTGTGTCACTTTTTGTCGTTTTCTCTCTTCTGTTCAGCTCATTTCTTTTTATTTTTTTTT